TGGCCCTGGAGTGACCAGCCTGAGGTGTAACCTGGTATCAAGGTCCTGAGAGGCGCTACATGTTTCCTTTAATCCTTTTCAAAGACTGCTCGAAGTTTGTGATTTTCTACTTGGTACAAGGCAAAGAGAGCTGTTAGGAGAGTTAAGAAGGCATGCATGGCCTGGCCTGTGTGGCTCAGTGGTTGAACATCAACCTATGAACCAGGAAGTCATTGTTTGATTCCCGGTCAGGGCACATGCCCGGTCTGAGGGCTCGATCCCCAGTTGGGGGCCTGCAGGAGGCAGCCGATCAATGGCTCTCTCATCATTGATGTTTCTATCTCTCTCTTCCCCTCTCCCTTCCTCTCTCTGAAAAAAATAAAAACATACTTTTAAAAAAAGAAAGAAAGAAGGCATGCACGTGACTTGACAGCAAAGGGTGTGGTTCTGGTCTTCATTTTTGGCATTTAAAAAAAATATATTTATTGGGGCGACATTGGGTAATAAAATTATACAGGTTTCAGGTGTACAATTGTATGATACATCATCTGTACATTGTATTGCATGTTTACCACCCAAAGTCAAGTCTCCTTCCATCACCTTTCATCCCCTTTTTACCCTTTCCTACCTCTCCCCACCCCCTTTCCCTCTGGTAACCACTGTGCTGTTGTCTATGTCTATGAAATTTTATTTTTTGCCTTTTTTTTTTAAATAAAAAGAATGTGACTACTTCACTTATTGCAGCCTGCTTAGTCTATGGGGGAGGGGAGGTGGGCTCTGCCTCCTAGTGTATTTAGGGGTGTGTGTGTGTGTGTGGTGGTGGTGGTGGTGGTGGTGGTGAATATTGGGTAGCAGGAAGGGACTCTTGCCATTCAGGAGGGGTTTTTGCCAGGCTTGAAGTCTGGGTATTTCCTCATGTCTTCTGAGTCAGGTTATAAGAGATGCAGGTGGTCTGGGGCATTCTGAGTGCCCTGGGAACTCCAATACAGTGGTCCTGGACAAGAAAGAAGATACCTCACCAGAGGCCTGGATCAGCCTAGGGAAAACCTGAACGGGGGATCCACATGTGCTGCATTGGAAGTAAAAAAAATCCCGGTGCTGTAGACAGTAATTATACCTGGCCCTGAGGGAGATGCTGGGGGGGATGGTTTTCATTTTTTTGGACTTGGCTTGAGAGGGCCACAGGACCCACTTCGGAGGAGAGCACAGTTGGATAACCCCCAACAGCAAAGCTCAAGGACTTAAGGTTGTGCTGCATATTGACAGACTAGTGTCCATGAGAGAGGAAGGAAGGGCATGTCCACCCTGTAGAGTCTGCTCTCTCATTTGCCATCCAGTAAACATTCAATAAGTACCCACTCTTTGCCAAACACAGCTGGGCACTGAGAATACAGAAGTAAATAAAACAGTGTCTCCTCTCAGGAGCCTGAAGTCTAGAGAAGGAGACATAAATAAACACATAATTGCAGCTCAGATAAGGGAGCGGACAATCAAAGTATGTATAAGGTGCCGTGGAGCTCTGAGGCATGGACACCAAGGAAGCCTGCGCTGAGACACGGGGGCTGGAGGTCTGGGCTTCTGGACTCTGCCTGACTCAAAAGCCACCCCAACTGTTGCACTGAGGGCGAAAAGGACCAGCCAGTAGGGAAGTGGCTGCTGTGAGCAGTATGATAATGTTCATAACAACATATGCCCAAGGCTGATAAAGCATGTGCCCCCCATGTACCATACCACCCCACTGTCTTCCCTCTGCACAGAGCTGTCCAACACGGGGAGGTGAGGAAAACCAGCTATTCCTTTTTTTCATTTTGTTAATCTTCACCCGACTGGCGCCAGGGATCGAACCTGCAACCCAGGTACATGCCCTTGACTGGGAACCGAATCGGAGACCCTTTGGTGCGCAGGCTGACACTGTCTGACACTCTAATCACTGAGCAACACACACCAGCCAGGGCAAATCAGCTGTTTCTTGACTGAAAGATTGAAATACAACTTTTGGTATCTTGAGGTAACTACTACAAGCCATGGGACCCCAATGATTCTGGGGATAAAATCAGAACTCCTAGGCAAAGGGAAAGTGAGGTTTAAAACTTGAAAGAGCAATTGGTCCTGGTCCCAAAGGAGCTTTCTGAGTCAAGCTCCAAATGCTCCAAGATTCAGGGCTCCTAGAGCAGCAGCAGAGGAAGCCACAGCTACCATTGCTGTCTGAGTATGAACCCAGACAATGCTGGCTACCTTCCCAATGTGTTCCCGGCATAGACACAAACACCACCCATATGCATGGATGCTCCCAGGCAGAAGAAGGGAATTTGATTAGGATGGTAGAAGTCTGCAACAAAGAAAACCTAGTAACCAGTTCCTGGAGGGCGGATGGGAAGAAAGATAACCCTGATCTGAAGAAGCAGCCCTTCATCACCAGCTTCACTTGTGTGGAATGAAATTCTACAGCTCTGGGCCTGGGGGAGAAGTGATACTTCAGGAACACCCAAAAAATGCTGTCCCTGGGAAGGTCAATGTCCCAGGGATACCAGGGCACAGAGAGATGCATCCTTAGGTCCAGCCCCAAGTGTTGAAGAAAGAAAACAGTCCCCAAAGTGATACATTCATCTTTAAATAGTTCACAGAAGCAGAAAAATGTTCTTTAGAGTACAAAGATTAAGGACAGACAGACAGATATATTGGCTTTGGGTCACACAGTAAGCTGGTGCCAGAAAGAAACTGGGTCTCTTGTCCTTCAGTGTGCTGTTTCTAGAGCCTCTCATTTTTTAGGAGCCTAAAGTAGGACCAAGAAGGGGCTCTTCTCTAATTTGTGGTGATGCCAGCTTGGTTAGCCAGGTCCTCTGTCCTTGAATGAAGCATTTTTACCAAGGTAAATGGGCCTAAGGAGCCTAGCTCTCTTCCTGGCTGCAGCGTCCCAAAGTCATTTGTCTGGTAAAAGGGGGGGGTGGAGTGGAGTGGGGAAGTCCAAGAAAACGACTATGAACACAAGTGCAACAAATGCACCCAGTTGTTGTTATCACTAGGGAGCACAGATAAGGGTGTGGCACCAGAGGCTCCGCAGTCTTGGCTGATAAGAGGAAGTCAGCCTGAGGATCTGAGGTCCCTGCAATGCTAGTGCTAGCACTGAGGATAGCCTGCTATCCTTTTTTTTTTTTTTTAAATATATCTTTATTGATTTCAGAGAGAGGAAAAGAGAGGGAGAGACAGAGACAGAAACATCAATGATGAGAGAGTCATTGATCGAGCCCACAACCCGGGCATGTGCCCTGACCGGGAATTGAAGCCCGATCGTCTGGATCCCAGGTCGACGCTCAACCACTGAGCCACGCCCGGCCGGGCATGCTATCCTTGAAGATGGATGTCAATAGCCTGGCACACTCTGTGACAATGTAGGAGGCTTCTTTGGGACTTGCCCTTAGGTGGGAAGTTCCCTTTAGGACATCCCCAAGCCCTGGCAGAGTGGTGGTGAGATTTTCTTCTGTTCTTTTTTAATCTGCAGCTGAAGCAGAACCTAGTGGGAACTTAGATTGACTGGTTAACTACCAATACTGCTAACACACCAGTTAACAGTAGCAGCCATCCAGGCCAAGGACTTTTCCTAGAGGCACTGTGATTCAGCAGAAAAATAGCCAGATCAAGCCTGCTAACCAGCCCTTGGGACCCTGGATAAAACAAGGAACATCTCTGTGCTTTAGCTTTCTCATATATAAAGTGTGGGTACTGGACATGCTGCCTTCTAAATTTTTTTTTTTTCTTTTCAGTTCTAAAGCTGAGAATTTGTTAGAAGCTCAAACTTCATTTTTCCCAGTACAATGGCTGAGAGTGAACTGTCATCACCACTCTCCAGGATTTCTCTCATTTGCCCCAACAGGCTAGCTCTTATGTACTCTGTGTCTATTCTTCAGACCACAGCCCTTGTGGAACCTTTACAACAACTGGCTCAGATGCCTGGTCTGTTCCCTCTCCTCAGAAACATATTTTAGACTCATAATTATTCCCTCCTGCAAGTCTGCACTTTAGGTCTCAGGCAGAGAGGGGCAGGCATAATGGGTACCCGGAGCAGCAGCGCTTGTGTAGTTGGAGCTGGAAGAGAAAAGGGGGATGGGGGTGAAGCTCCCTGCATTGTCAAACTCAGAGGGGCCCGGGGACTCTCTAGACATGAAACAGGATTGAACTAGCATTTCATGATCTGGTCCAGCTGGATTCTCAGTTCCAGCAGAGTATTTCTGCCATCCTTGACCAAACTGGGTTTGATTTTACGGAGGAAGACACTAAGGCCTACAGGTTAGTCAAGTCAACAATCAGGGGCAGAGTGGGGGTGAGAATCCAGGTAACCCCAGTCCAATATTTTTTCCCCTTTTCCACCCCCATGCAGAAGATTCTGAAAAGACCCCTGGCCTTCCAGTCCAACACTGGGTCTTATTTAAAGAAGCTGAAGACTGTCAGACCCCGGGGAATGGAGTCTGGTCCTGAGAAAGGTGGGGCAAAGTTTGGGACGGTGCCGGGAAAGACAGTGGCAGCTGGAGGCCATTCCTGTCCCTTCTCAGCCTTTGAGGACAGGGGGCACCAGAGGCCTGCAAAAGGCAGAAATAAAAGCCCCTTAACCCATTTTCTCTGAGGCAAGGGGAAGGAAGGTCTGAATTTCCTCCCTTCCTCTTTTTTCTTTGCCAGCAGGGCCTCTCAGTCCCCAGGCTTGAAAGTCCCCCAATCTATCTTGGTCCAACAGGAAAACCCGCTCCTCCCGCGCAAAGCCACCCCTTTGGCCTGGCACTGACCCTCATCCGATGCCCAGAGAATGCCCATAAGTCTTTACTGAATCCCTTACCTACCCTCCACCCAACGCCCCCTCAGACACAGCGACACTGTGGTGTCCCTCCCCAGGATAGATCACCCCGAAGTGCCATCAGCCTAGGAACCAGGCAGCGCGCCCACCAGGCTCGCCTTGAGCCAGGTGGCCCAGGACGCCCCCTCCTCCGGGGGTGTCCCGCAGCCCAGGTGCCCCCGCGACCCCTAAGACTCACCCAGAAGAGCATGTTGAAGAAGAAGAGCAGGTATTTCACCAGCGGGCTGACGAAGGAGAAGTCCTCCCCGAACGCGGCCGGCGCCCGGGGTCTCCGGGC